AGGACCTGGGTGGCTCAATCTGATTTGACCAAGACATTAATCTCTCCGGACAATTTTTATGTTTATTCGGGGAAAAAATGTTTCAGAGTCATTGCATGTCACACATAAAGCGCCTCATAACACTACCGGGGCCGTATGAATCCCATTTGAATGCCTTCAACATGTACGAAGATCGATTCCCAATGAACCAAATAAAACTCTCGTGTTATTTTTGCATTCCAAATGAAATTAATGCGTTTGGTTTGATCTACAAGGAACATGATGTTCCACTTAGTACCAGAGATTTTCTACAAATATTATAATGAGTATTAGCATAGACAGATCAACACATTAATGATTCCTTTGCATAGGTTTTAAAGATAAGCGAATAAGTGATTTGAAACTTTGTATATAAAACAAATAAAAATAATTCCTTGATGGATATTTTATGCAATGAAAATTCTTTAAAATGCAACAAAATTTATTAGCACATTTTTAAAACACTGGTGAGCAATTAAAAAAAAAAGCTTCATTCAAACTACTCTCACCAAAATATACAAATATACAGTATACACAGACTGCAGAAGGGGATGAAAGCTGTTTACAGTACCCACTGCTTTTGCCATTAGAAAATAATGAATTTCAAAAAAAAATTGCAATACCTCTTGGATTTAAATTATCTACGCTGACCTCAGAAATTCTCAACTGCAAGGACGGTTGCAAGTAAGAATTTTGACTGGATTGCACCATGAAATTTGAACGTGAACACACCACTGTTGTCATTATATTTAAACACTGATGATGTGACGAAATCGTTATCCCATGACTTGTAAGAAGGACGTTTATATAGAAACAATCCGAGAAGCGATGTTAACCGTTGGCGAGACTGGAATAGGTAAAAAGCCTCTGTTGAGACGGGGGTTGAAAAGAAGAGGGGGCTCTTGTACCTAACCGTTTGCATCCCCTACTTTCTTGAAAACTATCCTGGCACATTAAAGATGTAGGTAAAAAAAGCAAGGGAAAACGTTAGGGACTTTTTTTTTAAATATAGAGAAATATTTCTCCCCTGGTTGATACAACTCCTACCTAACTGCACAATGCGTTTCTACAAGACAGTTAAACTGCTCAAGTTGAAAAATGGAGAGAATTTAATGAGTACAAATTTATGAAATATGAATTCTTAATATATCATCATACATGAAAATAGTTCCATTCTTAACAAATAAACATTGTGCTGTTACGTCCCAGGTGTTCCTTTCCTTCCATCTGTCGGCCTGTCTAGACAAAAGGCCAGAGAATGGGGGAAGAAGAAAATAATAAGACCAGTTTGAAAAACACAATATAAAGAGTATATCTGAGAAAACCAAGCTCGAATACGTTATCGCTACTGGAATAAAACCGTCAAAGTTTTAGCCATTTTGCTAAGAGTTTTGTTGTTTTTACGTAAAACAGCACAAGATGGTAAAACAATCGATAGCAAGTTGGCCGACGCGTTACGCAACACCTTTAAAGCTAACATAAAGATCCAACATTATTCCCCGAGGGTGTTACATAAAATAATAAAATGACATGTTTAACAACGATAATAATGTGGCAAATGCCTATAAGGACAAAGAAAGAAACGCGATACACACCATTTAGTGTAAAACAAATTTTAAAAAAGTGTTGTTAATTTTTAAAAGTATCATTTAAATAAAATGATCCAGGGTTTTAAATTATTGATTTATACGTCGATCATAATTGATAGGTAAGAAATAACATTAATATCACCTGATACCAAACATATCAAACTATAAAAAAAAAGAATTTTAATAATGAACTTTCCTTTAAAATTAAAAAAGAAAAATTAAATGTGTTTTTTTAGTTTTCTTTAGCAATGGAAGTTGTGGTTGAATTCATAATATTAGAAATATATCAACCATAAATAAAGTAAACAACAAATAAAACTACTGACTCTAACTTAACTGAATGTGCCATTCCTTGGCTCCATTTTGATATTGTACTTGTATTTTTTTTTTAAAGGGACTCTATTACTTTTCCCACATTTTTGCTAGCGTTTAATCTCCTGAAACCATCAAAATACGATTTTTTTTAAATCGGACATGCCTTCAAAATTTATTCTCAATTTTGTGTTAAAAATAAGTTGCACCCCAAACCTCCACAACTTCTTAAAAATGTCTCAATGTCTTAATTTTATGTGAAAAACAAAAAAAATTATTTCTATATTACAACAAAATGAAAATACATAAAATAAGAAAATGAATTTTAAACAACAGTCACAAAATTTATCGACAGCAAATGAAGCTGTCGCTGCGGTAGTTCTGTAATAAAAGGTGGAAAAAATTAAATAAATATCCCTCAGCTTATAACCAACGACAGTCCTTGTCAACAAGGTTGTAATAAACTTGTATAATTTTTTTTGCATAAAATTGAGACATTACTTTTTAAGAACACTTTGAGACATCTTTAAGAAGTGGTATAAGTTTAAGAGTGGAGTTTATAGGGGAGAAACTTTTTTTCACACAAAGTTAAGAATAAATTTTGAAAGGTATGTCCGATTTAAAAAATCCTTTTCATTAAAAATTAAATCTAAAAATTCTTTTCAGGAGACTTTACACTATCAAAAATGTGGGAAAAAAGTAAAAAGTACCAATTGGAGAAAAAAAAATCGTTGGTGTATTCGGCAATATTTAAAGAAAAAAAATCAAGCTGAATTAGCCAAAATAAAGTACATGAGAAAACATGAAATGTGTGTATTTTTTCAATATGCCTTTATTATTACTATTAAAAAAAAGAAGAAAAACAGGAGCATCAGTCATCCAGTATAGTACTAATAGATATTTCATTTTTTGATACATTTTGTGTATGTTTAGAGAGAATATATTCATTAGCATGAGTGTGAGAGGTCTGATGGTGGAGTAATGAGTACCCCATCAACCCTCAATTATATAATATGTGTAGAGGGTGAATATCAAGTACTCCTCCACCATAACTGAATGAATGGCATGTAAATAGGAAAGGATGTATTTAAGAGTAAATATAGTAGATAGTAAATAGGTTTGGATATGTAAACTGATTACATTGGGAGCTAAAATGACTTAACTACTTGTAGCCCCTGAAGACCAACCTCGGAGGCTGGAAGGCTAAGAATGACTCCGGACTGCTAACACCTGGGATGGGTGATTCTCGAGGCCTGCCAGTAACTTATTATAAATTACAAAAGCTGAAATTGCCGGTGGACTGCGGGAAATGATACGCTCTACTATGTGTACATGTGTATGTATGTACATCTGGCTTATATAAATCAGTAATCCGTTTTTACTAATATTGTAAGGACAATGCAAAAATCATATCAATTAATGACAGTAGAATCTACTACTCAGGAAATAACGGACCATCCATGGTAGCACAGCCCATGTAAATGTTTAGAGCACCCCTAACCACCCCATTCATAATTTAAAATACAAATAATTTGACTGTGGCGTGCTGGTATGGGGTCTTGGTCCAAAATAACGAAGTGGTGGATGGAGAAAAAATAAGAGTAAATTGATCGGTTATGACCAAATTTTAGGTTCTTCTACCCACAGGCCATGTGGAATAATCTCTAAACAACTCAAAAATCCCATGGTGTATTTAAAGAAGTATAAAACGTTGGAATTCAAATAAGTCCTTGAGTGTAAGTGGGACCTGAACCGGTGTTAATGTAAACTTACTTTTGGGGCAAAGATGTGTATATTTAGGCGATGGTGCCATGATGTTACTCCATCTAGAGATCTGGATTTTCTGCCAGATTTGGCAGATATTCCAACCAATTGTGTATGGCACAAACAATGCGAGTGTTATTCTCTTTCATTGTTTGAACGGAGATATTTTTTAACATGAATGTATGGTGATAGAAATTATCTCCAAATGTATGGTGTTAGAAATTATCTCCAAAATAATAAGTATCATCCTGCAATTTTGAATTAAAAATTCCAAAAAGAATGGACGGGTTGTATATCTCCACTAACAACTCGAAAATTAGCTATGTTTGAAATCATAAGTTTCAGTACTGTAGATGATATTTCTTAACGTTGTGAATTACTAATAATAGTTTTAAATACCTGATGAAGATATATTTCTCTTAACACAATTTCAATATATGAAGCCTATAATTTAAGGATAGTAAAGTAATTCCTGCAATATGGAGGGCTTAAGGTCCAACTACCTTAAGTTGGGTGTCAAGGACGAGAGGGTCAACAGATTGGCAAAAATGTTTGATTTATTAACGCAATGAATATACAACACGGGATTTTATTCAAGTTGTGCATTTTAGTTTGTTCTTTATCATATAGATTGGAACGAATTATTACAAAATGTGTTGTCGAAATGAAAAAGGAAAACCAGGTGGGATTTAATTCACTAATTAAAAATGCGGCTTTTACATTTGAATATTTATGATCTGATGAATAAGCAAGCCATTTTGGCCATCGTACAGAGAGCGAGAGAAAGAAAGAGAAAGAGAATATGAGAGAGTATTTTATGTGGTGATGAGTATGTTAGTAATTGTACGCATACATGTGATTTTTTTAATTACAAAATTTTTAGAATTTAAAACATTAAGTTTGGTCATTTCCAATTATCCTGAACTGCCTATCATTGCTGTTTCATCTGTTAAACACTTATTTTGTCTGACAGATAAATCAGCCAGGATAAGCAAACCAGAATTATCAGAAATGACTGAATAGAGATTTATCACTCAGTGCAGTCAAGATGAAATTTGACAAATTTAAAGTAAAAGAGTTTTTAATATTTGGAAAAATGAAAGAAAATGATTTGTGTGACTGATGGTTGTTATAACCATGTTACTTCATTATAGATTAGTTAGATTCATATTGTCTATTGGCCTATAAAAATGTAGGTTTTTATCAAATGGAGGATGTTTCATTTAAGATGTTCAATTTAAATTGAATTAATTTTTATATATATTATAACTCAAGTACTAATTTAATTAAAAGTAAAAAAACAAAATTACTACTTACAGATCTTGACAGGGCAAGGTGTAGCTGGAGGAGGTGACAAAGGCTGTGGAGGTGGAGATTCTGGTCTCGGTGGAGACAAGAGACTTATTGTAACGGGTTGAGTTATGTCAATGGTTTGAACTGGAGGTTTGGCTTGTTCTTGGTGCTGATCCTGAAATAATTTTTTTACTATTATCTATTTTTTATAAAAGAGTAAATAAATCAATAATCGAAAACGAGCACAAAATTGAATCTGGAAAACAGGAGGGATCCAACTAGCTATCGAGTGTCGAACAACTTTAGAATAATTTCTCCATGTTAGCAACAATTAAAACTCCATGGGCTGTGCCATAACGGCTAGCAAATACTAGTCAGATGCCCTAATCCCTTAGAATCATCATCATCATCAAGTTGTTTGTGGAGAACAAATAATTCTTGGTCTTTACTGGATATCAGACCTACCCAGTAAGGACAAGCAGAGTCAAAGATTAATAATGACCAAATTTCAGGTGCATCGTCCTGCAGACCAGATGGAAAAATCACACAAATTATTCATGAGTTTGATAGATAATAGCACTTTAAAAATATATTTATATTTGTCTAAATTGTTATTTTTGTTTAAATTTATATTTTGTCCCATTGGATATCTTTATTCAATTGTAATATGTTATTTCTGCGCAAAATAAGTTCAATTTGAATTTGAATCTAAATTTATTACCTAAAAGAAATTGAATAAAATATATCCATCTGAAGTCAACATTTTAAAATTGCCAATTAATGCAATCTCATTTCATTACATTAGCATTATAGAATAAATTGTGAGGTTTCTCTGTGTGGTCTGCTAAGTTGATTAATCTTGTAATTTGGTAATTACCGATCATTTTGATATGATGTGCCACCTTTCCCTAGCCACGTTTATCTGTTAGGTAGGTGTCACCAATTCGCCATCTTCAGTATTGGATCTATATACAGAGAAAGTCTGTCTACAGACCCAACAGTGAAGATGCAAAAAGACGAAACGTGTCTGATAGACCGTTCCAACACATTAAGGATAGGAAGACCAAAAATGAACGGTAACAACCAAATTACAGGTTACAGAATAACTTGGGTATTAATATGACAAAGTTTGAATGCACAATCTATGAAATGTCCTTTGATTTCACATTAATTAAAAAGTAATATATTTAATCTAATATTTCAACAATAACTGAATATGTTTTTCTATTTTAAAAAGGAAACAGCACTAAATGTTCACATTACAACAAGAATGAATTAAGCATGTAGAAGAGTCAAGGTCATGTACTGAATGAGTTGTCAGTTAATAAAACATACCACCATACAACATACCAGACTATCTAGGTCCCGAACTTAACCTGGCCTAGAATCTTGCCACAAAAGAGGATACATCCTAAAATGGATCCTTTATGAGTACAAAGTTTGATGGCCCCAGACAAAGAGAATTATAGAAGGGACATCCTCAAAACTTAAAAAAGGAATTACCAGAAGCAATCGCAACCAAACTATGATTCTGGTTGGATGCCAAAAGGGCACTGCTACCTAGGGCACATGCACCGAATAGGAGTACAGAGAGAAGAAACACTGTGCACATACTGCCAGGAAGAGGAGATTGCAGAACACAAAATTTTATACTTTTGGGGAGGTCTATGAGGTGCTATTTTTGCACTACTGCTATTTTTTGTGCAAATTTTTACTATTTTATGCAGTACTAATATAATATGAATTTACTAAAAGGTTGTAAAAAATCACGTAATGAAAATGTAGCTAAAGTATGTCAAGACATAACTTAATATCACTTATACTGCCCTGCTAAAAAGAAATGCCAAATGTTCATTTTGATAGTTTTGACAAATTGAGCTTTGAAGTTTTTCATGCCGATTTGCCTCAGTAAAGATGCTATATTTTTTAAAGTTTCGGCCTAGGACTATAACTACTTTTTTTATAATCCAGAAAGCTTTTTTTTATTATAATGTTATAATGTATAACTTATTTATCGATTCACTACAATTTTTAGTTTTAAATAAAAAAGGGTGTTACAATAATTTTAATTGTGATAATTACTTATGAAAAAGAACATATCTGAAAAGAAAGTGCATTTTTCATTGTTGTTTTTTATTACAATTTCTTTTACAATGCAATAGTACATTAACGCATAATGAAACACATATTTAAATTAATATCACTGAATTTCCATTCCTTTGTTCAATACAAAACCTGTTCCCACAAATTTGTATCTTTTATGTAGGAAATGAGTTTTTGGGCAAAAAACAAGTGGAAAAGAATGTAAGCCACAAATCTCGTAATACAAGCGCTTTTTACTAAGTAGAATGTTTTTTTGATTAGTATTTTGCTTTTTACTAAGTAGAATGTTTTTTTGATTAGTATTTTCTCCAAAACATTTTATGCTATATATAATGTGTCGATCGATATTTCAAATTGATATTTTTAATATTTCCGGACTGATTTATGTTGATTTTATCATGTTTTCCAATAGGAAACATACCTAAAAACACCATGGTTTTAAAAATAAATAAATAAAGGTCAAAAAATTTGGAGATAGAGCATTTCATCTTAGCAGGGCAGCATAGAAACATTGCAATTCATTATTTGTAGTTCATTATATAATTATACATTATTCTTATGTCGGGTAAATGATCGTATTATACTGTGGGATTTTTGAGATTGTTGGCTGAATTGAATCTTCATAATTTACCTGTTGGTAGAAGTCGATATTAAAATTGTATTTTGAATCTACTTCTTTGCGAGGAGTTGAGGCTATTGCAGTCAGAGGCATAACATTGAATTCAGTCATTTCCTGAAACAAATATCACATTTTAAAATTAGAAACTAAAAATGAACAAACATGAAGCGTATGTGCATTTATGACACAATTACCTTAAGAATATTTTCAACATCATTGTGTGGAAGGCCTAATCCTTGTCTAGAGATATCCTTATTTTGTGGCTGTGGAAAAAAAATGGTTATTTTTTGTTTTGGTTATTGTTCTACAATATAGGATTAATCAATTTATTTACAGGAATATCCACATGAAGCCTATTAGGATTTCTAGATGGAATTCGTCCATGATGCACAGAAGGCACATTTTTTGGAGCTCCTCCAACTCCGTTGGATCTAAACTCAACTGCATGTTGTTTGGCTTGTGGTTGCCCATAATAGTTCCTAACTGAAGAACTACTGCTGCCATATGTAGGTTTGCCATCAGCGGGTTTTGCAAATGAATTCCTAAAATGACCCATATGTTTTAAAATTTGTTATAACGTAAAATATACTTCGTAATTAATGAATTGCTAAATCATTTCACCTGGCAGTTGAAGAAGAAGAAATGTGATGCGGGGGTCTAGAACTTGAACCCAGATGAGAGGATGGCGGTTTCTTGAATTCGTGAGGCCGAGGTTGGGAAGGCTTACTACTGCATAGTGGAGCTGGAGCTGGTGAAGCTGGAGGTACTCCATCATAACCCAATAATTGTATAGGTTCTTCAAGGAGGTGCTTTACTTTGTCATACTCCCCAAGCGTACTTTGAATGTTCTGTTTTACACGGTCCCCTGGTGATGGGTGAACCTGTACAATAAAAATTGCAAAAGTTAGCACAACAATTTAAAAAATATATTTTTTACGTTAACACAAGTTGAAGTTAACAGTTCAATGCTGGCTGGAATTTCTATTTTCACCCTCCTGGATGGTAAATTAAATAATAATAATAATAATTTTCTTATGCATTATGTCCAACGTGAACGTCAGCCGCATTGAACGAGTTGACATCTCCATGAAAAATAAATTAATAGTAGGTGTTATTTGTAAACCTTTGAAATAAAAACATATTTATGCCAGAAAGCCTTTTCTATCTAAATCAAATTATTACCATAAAAATTTAAAAAAAAAAATCGATTGAGAAATGAAATATCAAAAGGAAAAGAAAAAAAATCGGATTACACTACCAAACTGAGAACTAAACATGAGCTTATATATAAATGGATTATCTTGAAATTTAATCCAGGTTCATTTCAAAGCGAGAGAGAATTCAATCAGTGTCAACAAGGTCGCACCAAAGAAAGGTGAAAGTGATTGTATATTCTAGTTTCAAAAAGAATAAAACTTCCGAAGAGTAATTAAGCGCCCAGGACACCATTGTCATGATGTGCCTTGTTATAAATTTCGTTACAAATAAAATTCCAGGAAAATTGAATGATTTAGAATCGTACAAAGTGCATGTGAGTTTCCAGAAAGATTGAGTACTCATTGACAGTCAAATGTAGAAATGAATTACACATTACGATTAAGTATGGATGTAGAAAGAATACCAACTGCATTTTTACAAAAGTTTTTCTGATATATTTCGTAAACGTACTAGCTCTGGGTTTTATGCCACATTTTTATCAAATGGCTGGCAATTTGTTGTAACAGTATGGCAAAAATTTTGTTACTGTAGATTTTGGTTAGAATTTTCTGCATTAAATCAACTACTGTGGATTAATACAGAAAAAACCCCGCTTAACTAAACAGTCTGCTTTTATTAAAAATAAATAAAGCTAATCGTTAATCAATAGAACCAGTCTTTAATTCACAAATTGCATTTCACAAGCTGAGAAAAAGGACAAAAACAAAAAGAAATTATATTTCAGACCTCTTTTCTTCTTTATTCAAGATTTGAAGAGTTACCGGTAAATAAGGTGAGTGAAGAAAATCTGTACCAGGTCTTTCTGGATCAATACAATTGCCTGTCAAGACTAAATCAATCCAACCTTATGTCCAAACAATCCTTCGCCTTTTGCAGTATAGGAAGGTCAAAGTTAAGACCGTAATACAGATAATTCACAACACTGGTCACAAAAAATATTTTTACCAATGTTTACGAACACCAAATTATGTTTAAATCGGGAAAAATCAAACTTTATTGCTTGAAAACAGCTATTAAAAAGTTATTATACAATTTAACATAAAAAATATCATGTGAGATTTCTCTGTGTAGTGATGAATGTGTGATTTTGGTCATTATCAACTATTTTTGGGCTGCCTGTTCTCACTCTGTTGATTCTATCAACAGTGTTGGATTTATGTATCAAAACACTTCTGAATGACCAACATTGCGATAGACGAAAGTGACCAGTAACAACCAAAATTACGAAAAATATTGTGTTTTTATATATTTATCTTTTTAAAGAAATTGTATCAAGAAAGAAATAAGTTCTCTGTTAAATTATATTATTTCTCTTAAATTTAAAGCAAAGTTTAAGATATAAATGTTGACTAATAGAGAGATCTAAAGCCAAAAAATTTAAATGCCAAAATGACCTTTTTTTCCTTATCTGTGTGCATTGTTATGTAAATGCAACAATTCAAGAGCTCTACGATGTGCAAAATGATTTCCTACCAGCAGATTCATGCCTAGGTAAAACAATTCATGAGATTTCTTCTTTAAGACTATTTTGGGTCAATGACGACCTGGATTGAACGACCACTAACCCTCAACAATACGGACAGGCCTACAATAGCCTTAGTGCAAAAAAGACGAAAATGGACGTATTTGAAAATCTAGAAATATATTCAACACAAATAAACATGAGTATACGACATATCATCTAGTCGTACATAAAAACCGCTAAAAAAATTAATTAAATTTAAAAGTATAAATAAATAAAACTGCAACAACTACAAAACCTAGATTTAATACGTATAAGACTCAGACATACTTTTTTTTTTTTTTTTTTTTTTTTTTAAGAAGAAATCTGTAAAAGGGGTTCTAAATTATATGGCATAAACTGACGGCCAAAGCTGACGAAAAGGAGTATGACAGACCGAAAAAGATAGGCAGGATCGGAAACATCAAACATTTGCCCCGTAAGACTACAAGCTTATGCACATTAATAATTCACACTAACTCAACCTATTCTCAAAGAATACATAAATCAAAAGCGGCACCTGAATAACGTAGGCTGATCCGATCATCCTGAACTGCTTTTTTCTCTTTCAGAAGCGCTGAAATTGTTGAAAAATTGACAGTCAAAACCGGAGACAATAGGTTAAACCATGTCAATCGAAGACGGTCGAGTCGAGAACAAGGTTTGTCACGTCGCAGACCTTACCACAATTGTTTCACGACAGTCGATTCATCACAGCCGAGATGATATTGACGACCAGTTAAATTTGAAATTTAATATTTGATTCAATTAAATTAAAAATTATTACTGAATTTAATATATATTATTATTTTAAAACTTTTATGGAAAAAATTATAGCTGTTTACGAATACTTTCACAAGTTAAAGGGAATCGCTTTAATTCCCTATAATTTTACTTTTATACGCTCTAAGCACCTATATTAAAAACAAAAAAACAAAAAAAAACAACGTCGTTTTTTTATTTTATTGCCCTATAAATTAAATTTAGTAGATTTAACTTCATAAAACTTTACATAAATTCATTATATCTAACAAAAACAATATGTTAATTAATGAGTATGGTTAATTTAAAAAAATGGAAAAAATACCATTTAATTAGTGTATTTAATAAATAAGTTTTTGATTTCAAAATTCAACCTGTAGATATTACTTTTTTGAAATAAATTAGTTACATTATTTTTAACTAATATACGTCTTTTTTTTAATGGCGTCATGAACTCTCATATTAGACGGAGTACATAGTTGATTATTTCACCATTTTATATGTAACTGGGGGAAGTTTAGTGTGAAAAATGGAAAAAGGGCTAGGGGCGTCGGTGGGGATCGAACCCACGATCGAGCTCTATGAGCAGGAGTCTATCACGCTGAACCCTCGGATGCCGGTATAAGGTCAATCTAGACCCACTGTCTACACCTTAATTACTTGGTAAAGGTGGCTTCCAAACCGGCAACCACCTTCCAAAAAAGCAGGCAATGGAATGTGTAAAAGAAGATGTAATGGGCAGACAATTTCTCGTGTCTGGCAAGGAAGTACGATTATCCCGGATCACCTCTCAAGGATGAATGAAAAAAAGCCGACGAGAAATTAACAAATTTCAAGGCACGCGCCCGACTGACCAAGTTTAAGGTGTAAGCTATGCTGGAAGATGACAACCAAATGTGCAAGCTTGGTAAATCATGCAGGATTGGACCTCAGCGTAGCGAGGTGGATCTTCGGCTTGAGGGCAGTATCTTTAAACCTTAAACGTCAAACCCTACGATGAAGATAGAGACAGGCAGTCAAAGTGCTCAATGTGTAACATGGACGAGGAGGAGGCCACTCTCCACTTCCTCTGCGTAGCCCGGTGGTCCTTAATGAGTTTAGGAAAAAAAAATATATATATAATTTTTTTTTTACTTTGCCCTACAGACATTCAGTCAATGTCATTTTGTTGGTGACAACGCCAACCAACCCTGGCCACCCCCAAAGGGCACCACCCCATACGCCCGCTTCTCATTCGGGTATACACTTAATTTCGGCAGCATTAGGAGGATATGGATAAAAATCGTACATGGCCGTTTAGAAAAATAGCATTGGGGAAAACACGATTGACACACGAAGAGGCTATCAATTAAATTTCTAATTCACTGTTTTAATGAAAGAGAACTTTAATTTATTTCATAATTCAAGGAATTCGTTTTATTTTAAAATAAATCTTCTGTTTTTCCATTTGGTATTCATCTTGCCATACGACTCTATGTTCAGTTTTTTGTACTTTTTTTTTCTTTTCTCAATTTAATTTTCCATTTGATCCCTTTTCAAAGTAGACCTGAACTTCCGGCAGATGGCTATGCCGTACTACAACCTTATTTTACTCGCACACAAAAAAAAGGATAAAATTGTATAATGTTGTTCAATAAACGTTTTTTCCTTTTTATTTTTTCCATTCATTATATTTGTGTAGAGTGTGTAGTACATGAATCAAAAGTTTGTTTGGGGCAAAACGATTTATTGTCAGTAATTCAGAACTTGTTGTTCAGGGGGAAAAAAGATTTATTAAATACGCGTTAAATTTTGTATGAAAATTTCCCCTTGTTTTCTTTCAGATGAGGAAAAGGGTCTTAATTTAAATGCCAATATTCACGGAAAATCAACGAAATTCATGGAACCGGGGGCGGTGGTTTTGAGCGGATAGGAACCGACTTATGACGGCTTTAGTTGTGAGACAGAAATAAAAGGGGGAGGGAGAAAACTTTTCAGTTTATTACACCAGAGACAGTGCTTTTTTTTGTAAATTAATTATTGATTTTAGTAAACAACGTGTTAGTTCACGGAAATATATCGTTACTGACCAACTGATACATTGGAAACTACGATTAATTTGGTGAAGAGTCACTAAATAAAACTCAAACACCCAAAGAAAAAGACAAACTATTGATTTAAGAGAAAACGAATTAACTAAAGGCCGGTAGAAATAAAATTCGACGAAGAAAAATCCAATTTGTTAAATTTTGTTTAAAACAGTATACACACAATAGGCAAAAGCTAACAAGTAATTATTTTTGGCTGTTCACATCAAGTTGATCCCAGACCCCATCGCCTTTACCTTCAACTGAAAACTTCTAAACCACCTAAGCCCCAGTAAAAAATGCATCCAATTATCATGAAAACTTGACAAAAATC